CAGCGCGGGGCTGTCCTGCCGCCCGGGCCCGCGGGCAGCGCCCGCCGAGCACAAGTCTCGCTCCTTCAGCCATTCTCCTGCCATAGTCTTAACGTTGTCGCCACTGCTAGTGGCAGAAAGCAATGACCCACGCTCGTCCCGAGCTGCTGAAATGAACTGCAGTCTCCTAACAGTGTTTGCAAACCAAATCTACCGAGAATAATCTTTCCACACTTAATTCCTGCTTTAATAAAGTTCTTTGAAAAATGCGTGTCAGGCTACAACATCGCATTGAACACTAGGCCTCCGGTTGGGCAGAGGGAGATAAAGGGGAAGGAGCTGAGCTATTTCTCAAAAAATGCTTTTTCCTTGAAAATGATGAATGGGAAAGAAAAAAAAAAGCAGGGGTTGGGGGGGATTGGGAAGAATGAACCAACAAATCTGTTAGTTTAGCCGTTGCCCAGTTTCCAGTTTAAATGAAATACTTTTTAGAGTTTTGAGAATGTATATATTGGGGAAGTAATTGAGAGCAGCAATGAGGAGAAAGACTTGGGCCTGATGGTGGATGAGAAACATGAAGACAAGACACTGTTGGAGACCTCATAGCAACTTTGCAATATCTGCAGGGCCTAACAGGGAAGCTGGAGAGGGACTCTTTGTTAGGAGCTGCAGTGACAGGACAAGGGGCAAGGGGTATAAATTGAAAGAGGGGAAATTTAGGTTAGATATTAGGAAAATGTTTTTGTACTGTGAGGGTGATAAGACACTGGAGCAGGTTGCCCAGGGAAGTGGTGGAGACCTCATAGCAACTTTGCAATATCTGCAGGGCCTAACAGGGAAGCTGGAGAGGGACTCTTTGTTAGGAGCTGCAGTGACAGGACAAGGGGCAAGGGGTATAAATTGAAAGAGGGGAAATTTAGGTTAGATATTAGGAAAATGTTTTTGTACTGTGAGGGTGATAAGACACTGGAGCAGGTTGCCCAGGGAAGTGGTGGATGCCCCAACCCTGGCAATGTTCAAAACCAGGTTGGATGAGGCCTTGAGCAACCTGATCTAGTGGGGAGGTGTCTCTGCCCATGGCAGAGGGTTTGGGACTAGATGATCTAGAAGGTCCATTCTGACCCCTAAAATTCCATGAGTCTGGAGTTAAGTTGAAAGAACATCTTCAAGTTCTTCAGCTTTTGTTTGTGAAAAAATTTGACATGGCTTTCATTTTGTTTTCAAAACAGTTTTGATTTAGAAATGTTCAAGGGTAAGTATCATTTCCCATCGAGGAGTATCTGAAAACCAGTACAAACAAGAAGAGAGGCACTGGGAACAATTATAATAATAAAACTGCAAAGCCTGATTTAGTTCTTCAAATTAGATAAAGTTGATCCCAATAACACCACCAGTATAAACATAATTTGCAGTGTTTGAAATCAAAAGGTCATCTTATTGAAGGTCACAATCACAGAAAAGTGCTCTTGAAAATGAGCCCTAAATCATACCTGGAATGCTATAAAACAAGGCATATTATGGCTATTGCCACAGTATATAGGCCACTATCATATCTCTGGGGGGTTGGAGTTTTCATCTGTTACATAGACAGTTTATGTTTGACAAGAAGGCAGAGTGAAGCCTTCATATTTTCCTTTTCTTCTGCTTTGTAAAATGATTCTGAAATGAAGTCAATTTCTTGAAATCCCATCCTTCACTGAAAAGAACAGTAATAAGAAAAACAGTAATTAATCAAGCTCATACCACAATTCCCAGCCCCTTAAGAACATTTTTACTGGAACCAGAGCCCTGGCCTTGGCCATTTCTTCTGAAAGCATCGTATTTTAGAGAGAGATGCCCACCTGTATCATTGCATCTTCCAGTGAAAACAGACAACAAAAATCATTCAGGAGAGAAACATTTCTAGACAAGTACACCTGAAAACATACATACCTGCCTAACCTGATGCCTATACAAATGCAGAACCTGATCCTCAGCTCTTTGTGGCTGTACCTGAAGGATGACTACTCACTACTGAGTTATGTGAAGCTATTTACTGACAAGTTGAACATATAAAAGTATCTCCTGATTTAGCACTATATTCAAAAAACACATGAGCAATTAGAGCCAGTGCACATTTTGTCACCCTTCTTTAAGCACACCGTATTTTGGGAGTTTCATTTCAAAATTCTGGAGCAACAGTACTCAAAGTCTCAAAGGTACAGTGGTTATGCTATGAAATTTGGTGCTTTCTGGCCCCAGTAGCAGAATTAGAAGCATTCAGAGTTTCTTCCTTTTCACATTAGACCAATGTGCTTTCATGGACTTTAATGTCCCACTGATTTACCAGATTCAGCTGTAGTTCATCATCTTTCCCAAAACTTGGACATGTTAATAAAAATTAAAGATAAAACCAGACAACTTA